GAGAGAGAGAGAGAGAGAGAGAGAGAGAGAGAGAGAGAGAGAGAGAGAGAAAAGGGTGATCGAGGCAAGCTAAAAAAAAAGCTCTATTATAGCAACTCTAGTGCACTATGGGTCAGATAAAGGTAAATCCATTTTTGGATTTAATGAAAATTTAATAAACACATTTTCGCTCTGGCTATGGGCATTCATCGCTTCAATCTCTATGCAAGCATTCTGCCATCCCTCTTTCTCTCTCCTGCATTTTTCCACTGAAAATAGATCTTGGAGTGATTTTTCTCTCATGTTTCTGTTGGTCTCTGTAGAATGGAGAATAAATGATGGATCCACCCATAGCATACCTGATGGATCTATATATATATATATATATATATATATATATATATATATATATATATATATATATATATATATATATATATATATATATATATATACACACACATAGATGGATAGAATGAATGAGCATGGAGTGTGACAGAACATGACAGTGACGTTAAACTGGACAACTGAACAGATGCGCAATAATTCTACTTTATTTGAACCCACAAAATCCCAGTTATCTTAATTTCAAACCTAACGGCTCATAATCTAACAGCAGATACTGCTCGCGACCTTTGACCTCCATTGTATCCAGAGTTAATCATGTCAAAGAAACTGACTTACTGCCGATGTTTATAGTTGTTAAGGTTTTTTGTTTTTTGATGATAGATAGATAGATAGATAGATAGATAGATAGATAGATAGATAGATAGATAGATAGATAGATAGGTTTTTAAATTTTCAAATCGCTGTATACCTTGAAACCGGTAATCGGCCCATGCCTAGTGGATACACAAAAACAGGTAAATGAATATGACTGTTTTTAAAGATACTCAATGTGTAGGCAAGGGAAAGAACAGGCAGCAAGGGAGTATAAGGTTGACAAATATGTCTGAAAGGATATTTACCAAGAGATGAGAGTGAGACAGTTGGTGCTTATCCAGCAATATGCCATGATGCCAGCAAAGTTTGTACAAAAAACCTGTCAGGATGGGTTGAAACGGAGAGAAATTATAAACAGAGCAAATACTATCGGCCCCAGCTAGGTCTTGCTCAGACATACCGTACCACACACACGGTTATGATTACACTTTATTTCCCTGCCATCGATCAACATGAAGTCACATGCGGCTCTATCAGTGCTGTCTTTTTTAAGGGCTATTTTAAGACCTCTATATATCTCAGTCATGCCCGGCCCTCATGGTACGGCTGGATCTGCTGATAAGGATATACGACAGAATGCGACAGACTGCTTTATTTATGTGCAGATGGGGTCAAGAATTTATCGATATCTACGTGAATCATGGTGCCCTGTCACGTTTCAGCACATCTGCCGATCAGTCGGCGGTTTAGCGCCGCCACAATTAGCAGCCGACATGACAGTGACCTTTCACATGCTAATAAACTGTGATGATGACGGTGTTTGACTAATAGGACACTGACAGGCTGCCATGAGAACACATAAACGAGCAGGAAAGGAGGAAGCAGGGACTAGTGTACACTTCACCGGAGGGGACAGCGCATGAGTGAAGCAAACAAGATGGAGACTGGGACACTTGTATGTACTGAGCATCATGGGTATAAATCTATATAGTGCACATTGCTAACAAGAGTCAAAACACCCGAGTCATTTAAAAAGTCAATGACATCAATTGATCTTAAATAACTGAATAGAGGATGACTCACTAGGGACGGGAGACGCTACGTATAATAATAATAATAATAATAATAATATAATAATATCGCAAATATTGATACCATTATCGATATCTAAATGGAAAGTTTATTCTGGGAATTAAATGGGTAATTATACCCACAGGGAATCATTTTGAATAGATGCAGTAGAGAATGACGAGGAGAAATAATAGCACTTGCCACGGATGAACTGAAAGTTTTGCTTTTGTGAATATAAGTGGTCTTGACTATAGTGAACAGCAGCTGAGAGTTTGTGACGTCACCAGGCTTAAAAAGTCAATGACATCAATTGATCTTAAATAACTGAATAGAGGATGACTCACTAGGGACGGGAGACGCTACGTATAATAATAATAATAATAATAATAATATATAATATAATAATATCGCAAATATTGATACCATTATCGATATCTAAATGGAAAGTTTATTCTGGGAATTAAATGGGTAATTATACCCACGGGGAATCATTTTGAATAGATGCAGTAGAGAATGACAAGGAGAAATAATAGCACTTGCCACGGATGAACTGAAAGTTTTGCTTTTGTGAATATAAGTGGTCTTGACTATAGTGAACAGCAGCTGAGAGTTTGTGACGTCACCAGGTGATGAAAAAATAAGTAAATATTTTATGAGATAAAGTAAATGTAAAAAAAAAATCACTGTGTTCCACTGAAAAGCTGCAGAACTCAGCACCCCGACCATTTTAAGTTTTTCCAGGTATCGTGCCCTTGAGTGTTGTATCATCAACATGATTCTCTGGAAGAATCTGCGGAAAGTTGATGCAGCAAAGTTGTGCAGGTGCAAAATAAATAAATAATCACACAACAGCTTGCCATGAGTATTTTCTTTCTAAAAATACTCAAATCTTTTGGAAATGTCTCTTCATTTTCCCTGAAGGCAAAAAAAAAAATAATGATAAATAAAATAATTTACAAAATAATGTCTATGTGGTTCTTAACTATATGGAATATAGTAAAGAAAATGAAATGAAATGAAATAAAAGTTGAACACCATCAGAAATAATGCATAAAAATGATCATTTGGGGTGCACTGGGGCAGTAACTGGACATAAGTTCACATGAATCATGGCTAAAATAAAATAAATTTTAATAACATAGGACATTAATTTCTCTATACTTTTTCTGTATGTAATAATTAAAAATTTTTTTTAACACCATCAGAAAAAAAGTGCAAAAATTACCATTAGGGCTGAACTGGGGCAGTAATTGGATGCAAGTAAAAAAAAGGTCTCTGACCTTTTCAATAAATCCTTTAGAAAAAAACGCACAAAAATTAGGGCTGTATACTTGGGCACTAACCTTAATGGTACACATTTGTACATGATTTACTCTCAAAGGGTGCATATTAGCATCTTAAGGTAAGAACATGCATCCAAAAACACAAATGCCTACCAATTGAGCTTACTACTCCAGTCATGCCAAAGTTAAAGGTACAGTACACAAGTGTATCACTTCACCGAACTCTCACATGCAGTATATGCTTTAGCTTTGTGAGAGTTTTAACATAAATAAGAGAACTGCAAGACTCACAAACACTCTGCCAATATACCTTACCCACAACCACAACCACCAACGCTGAGCACAGCATAGTGCAAAATCTCATAAAGTTGGGTTTTAGTGAAAGTCTTGATCTATAACACACACAATCACATATGGGAAGCAAGAGGCAGAAATCTCTCGGCCTGGCATATGGACTCTGGAAACAATCCTATCCCTGTTCCCTGTGCGCTTGAATATTGAAAGTGGGCCGTGGGGGCCGTGACAATGTGGATAATGGTAGCAGGGAAATAATGCATTATTTATCGGCTTTAAGATATCGGCCAAATTTTCTTATCAGGCCGATACCGATAACAGAAAAAAATTAGCATTTATCGGCCGATACCAATATGGTGGCCGATATATCGTGCATCCCTAAGACATACCTCCCACAGTGCTTCCAGAACAAGCCTTCAGAGGAATATATGGAACTCGGAACTGTTAAAACAGAGCAAAGGAGAAGAGAGAAGGAGACAAAGAACAAGAAAGCAAGAGAGACAGACAGAGAGGTCATACATTTGAGACTTTGCCTATAATAATAATAATGATGTTAAAAATATTGTATGATTGTCTTTGCTTTCTGTTTCTACATATGCAAGTTCATTATTACAGTTCCTAGTATATTAATCATATTTATCAAATTATTTTTAAATTCAAATAATTTCTAATTTTACTTTGCATTAAATTAAGATAAAATCAATGTAAATTTAAATAAAACATTTTTAAATTCAAATGAAACCATAATGTTATCTACATAATTTATTACATTGTTAAATTTCTTGATCAAATTGTACTTTGCATTAAATTAAGATAAAATCATTTAGAATAAATCTTATTAAATTAAAACCATATTGTTGTCGCAATAATTTATCGTATTTAGTTAAATTACCTAATTTCAAATCATTTCAAATTTTACTTTGCATAAATTAAGATAAAATAGATTGAAATTCAAACAAATTCAAATTAAAAAACAAAACCATAATGTTACATGATGTATTCCATTTAGTTACATTTCATGATTTCAAATTTAACTTTGAATTACATTAAGATAAAATCATATTAAATTAAAATAAAACATTTAAATTACTCCATGTGCAATTATTTTCTTTTAAATTAAAATAAAAACAATGTTATCTCTCTCTGTATTCCATTTAGTTAAATTTCCTGATTTCAAATAATTAAAACATTTTCTTTGCTTTATTTTAAAATAAAACCATTTAAATTAAAATATTCTATTCGCAATTATTTCGTTTTTAATGTAAATAAAGCCATTTAAATCAAAATACACTTTTCAACTTTTATTTTACTTTAAGTAAAATAACACCAAGACAGAACTGTATTCTGTATGTTTGTTTATGTGTGTTCATCACCTTTGTTCTATTTCTGTGCACACTGATGTACATGGACTCATGGCTTGCATCTTATGGAGAGCTGAACAATGTGGTGACCTCAACACTGGTCGTATGACAGAGCCTCAGGGGAAGTGACAGATCGTGCATGTGGACAGGCAGTGACGTGGCAATGAATCTTCACTTCTAGCCTCTTTCTGTCTGAGCCAAAAGTGCGACAAAAGACCTGAGCACAGCACCAACAAACAGATGTGTCACATCGATGTGAAAGGCCTGTTTGTGATCGCTAGTGTTGGTTTCAGGCTTGCTGTTCTTAAGGCTTGTTCACACCTAGTCTGATACAACTAAACGACATGAACGAATATTCATACCAAAAAACCCTTTGACATCTGAACACCAGGAAAGTGATCACAAGTGATTTTTTTTTACCTAGACATCAAGATGTATGAATTTAGAAGAAAAAATTAGAAGACAAATCTGATATTTAAATGAAACATAACTGAGAAGCCCATTGAGTCTTCTGAGACATGAAAGAGCAACCTGCAATAATACGTTCTTTTGGCAATTAAAAAAAATTGGCCTAGCCTCTTCAGACATTCTTTAAAAGCTTGTGAATGTTCTTTGTGCCCAATTTAAGAGCTAATATGGCTATTTTCTAATCTTCCTTTGAGACCACTGTGTGAAAACTGAAGTTAGTCTCTCTAAAAAAAAAAAAGAAGTGCTAAATGAGAATTCTTGTATTTTCATCCATTTAAACTTTCAAACACACAATATCCACTCTTAGGGAGCAATTCATCATGTAAAGCATCAAATTGTGTCTTGTTTACTGAAAAAGGATGTTTTTATAGTACCTCTTATATGTCAAAAGATCAAGTAAATTTTGATTTCTCAATTCCTGACCCCTTTAATATTGACTGAATTAATTTTATTATGTGAAGAAAAAGATAAAGAAAAGCCCCCTCCCCCCAAAAAATAGCAAATGAAACATGCATCGCAGCACATATTATGCACACACAATCAGTTTTCTCGACTCCCTCCTGCAGTTGTTCAATTGGGATCCCTAGGGTTCTCCATATGTTTAGCATTGATACCTGTAGGACATCAAACACACACTCACATACACTCAGTGATATTTAAAAATATCTTGCCTGTGTCATCCATCTTCATTAGCTGGTGAGGCCGAGAGACGACGCAGAAACTCTCAACAGTTAATAACATAAAAAGCACATTGCGGGCCTAAGGTAGAGCCAACACAAAGAGGAGAGAGCTATTAATATCCAAACACACACACACACACACACACACACACACACACACAC